GTTGGAGGTCGGAATCCGAGGTTTCATGGCTTGAAAATGGGGCAAATAAATATAAGCCGAACTTGTATTGTTTGCCGTTACAGTTCTGGGCCCGAAAGAAACAAAGCGTAAATTAACTTGGAGTCAAGCTCTAGCCACCACATGTAACAAGCTCTAAAAAACAGCTCAGTGTTTCATCGACACGAAAAAAAGATACAATTAGAAAACAAAAAGTGAGCCGCGCACGTTTTGATTCGATCTTGACGTCGCGATTGCAAGCTCCGGTCGAGCGCGAACGATTATTCGACCGCGTATATACACCTGTATTAGCCATATATTATCGACCGGTCCGACCCTTATATTAAATGACTGTAGCGGCCCCGTATATAATTTCAGTCGAAACGTAGACTGCGGGCAGCCCGTCTCAAACCGCAATCTTGGATTCTGAGACCGCGGTTTGCCGTTGGTTACTCCGAGGATACTCCGCGATGCATCCACGGTCTAACCGCGGTACCCAGAACCGCATATAAACCGCCTGTGTACGAGATCGTCGATCCATGCACGTACGTATTATGTTTATGAAAAAGGTTCCTAGATTGGCCGGTCGAACTGAAATTCACATGCATACACGCGACATGTAGGTATGGCGTAATGGCCGATGTCTGTCTGCTATACGCGAGCACTCAGTGACTTACTGAAGAGCAATCAGACCTAGCTATAATCGCAAGTCACAGTATTCACCTGATTACGCACGTACTATGAATGGAGACGTATCATGCTCCAAACACCAGCCTTGGTATACCCAAGATCCTCTATTACCAGAAACTCAACTTGATCTGTACCTCTAGCTATTCATCCACGCACTTCCACAAGTGCTCCTTCGACGAAACATGGCGAAGTCCGGTGAGCCTTAACTGTGCTGCTTCTTCCTGAGACATAAAGCTGAGCAGCCGCTCACTAATTCTACAGTACACGAAGAGGGCAATCTCCAGGAATTCCTTGCAGCTTGAATAGAGTATCTCCTATACCTAGCGGCCTAATTCCTGATACCAAAACGTTAACGTCCTGCTTGATGTTACCTCCACTGCTTCGACCCCAGGTCAGCATCGGCGGAACTCCTGGAAGAACACCCGCAGCCAAGTGAGTGACCCATTCCTATCACAAACAACTGTCCGGAAATTACAGCAATTTATGGCCCTCAACAATCTCAAAACAGGTTCCACCTCTGAAAGGCATACGAACCAGGCAGATGTGATGAACAGGTTGATCGTAAAGTCGACGGCAGATTCAAAACTTTCTGGGGCTCTTTGAAGAAAGGTCCAAAGCTCAGCGGACAATCTTTGAAATCCGTTTCCTACAGACGGTGAAGTTTCGACAGATGCGTGCACAAAGTCGAGATTGCTGGACATTTGTGGTGCGCCAACGGCTCGCTCATGCCACCCGGCGCCTTCAGCCACCGGAACTCGGAACAAGATGCGGAGTACTCGAACTTTTTTGACTCTGTTTCTGCATTGAGGCTGATGGATCGGAATGGAATGGACGGGCGACTCCTCAGCGTTGCTACCCAGGCACTTCTGCTTCGCAAAATACTGTTTGGCGGACGTCCGTTTAGAAACATACTGAAAGTCAAGAACCCAAAATTCCAGAAGACTGAGAATCGGTGACTGCATCTTCTTGGCACCGGAGCTCCGAGCTTTCAAGCATGGTCCAGCCGTCCAAAGCTAGGAGCGTAAATCCGCTCAAGCCTGTTCATTTGGAACCAAGCTGCGCATTCGGGAGCCAGGTCTGAGGGGACAGGTTGTCCGCTCAAGCCTGTGCACTGGAGAGCAAGCTGCGCAATAGAGACGAGCAGGTTTGAGTGGGCACGCGCTACGGACGAAAAAAGAAGCGCCTCCCCCAATCGTCTCCAAGCGACGTTTTGAAAAGGGTTTGCACCGACTGTAAGTGTTCCGTTCGAAGCTGCTGCCGCCACATCGCACCTTCGACTCGTCCCCCCGCCGGAACCAGGTCTGTTGTAACGGACTGCACGCTCAAGGCTTTGCCGATGGAACGAAGCTGCGTATCCGAGAGCCAGCTTTGACGCAGTAAGCTGCAAAGCTGAAGTAGTGGGAAGATATATGCTGCTGTCAAATCCCACCTTCGACTCGTCCCCGCGCTCGAGCCCTGTACCGAGCTCCGGACGCTTGCCCCCGTCGAAGGGCGGGTGCTGCCGCTGGCCCGCCGGCTGCCGACCGGGGACGGCGGCGGGGGCGCGACGCCGTCGATCAACTCTGGGGCGTCCGCAGCTACCCGCCGGAGCCCTGCACATAAACGGGGAGTTTGCCGATCAGAAAGTTACGCCAAGAAGTGACCGGTACAAAGTTGAATGTTCACGAAAGAGTGATCGGTACAAGAAATTGGCCTCAGTGAAGTCAGAAGTGCGCCGTAGATTATACTCGGAGCGACGGCGGCCACACGCCGGAGCCCTGCGCAAGAAGAGAGCTTACGATCAGAGAGTAATAATATCAAGATTGCGCTGTGTACTAAGAAAGAGGTGAAAGGTTAGAGGTTGGAAAGTCTACGCTGGAGTGACCGGTTCGAGACGCCGTCGATCCACTCTGGGACGTCCGACAGCTACCCACCGGAGCCCTGTACAAGGAGAGAGCTTACGGTTCGAACGAAGATTACCAAAAACAATCACCTTCCGCGCAGCCACAGCTTGTGCAAGGCAACGTTTGTCTTGACACGTGGCCCAGGGTCGACCCCTGTTCCGCAAACTGAACATCTGTCTCGTCCGGCTCTCCTTTTAACTTTGTTGCCAGCTCTGAGCACATGCGACCTACCAGACGAGATGCTTGGCGCTGCTTATAAGAATCGCCACAAATTCCCCAACGGCAGACGTCTCTCTTGTAGATTGGTACGGTGGTGCGGATTCGCCACCAAAATTACGGTCGAAGGAAGCGTACAGGAAGCGTCCCATTGTGGGACTTGGCAGCGCGCCCGGAAAGAGCTGAAGCGCTCGGAAATTATTTTGAGGGACCCAGACATGGGAGCATGCGGGCACGACCGTCGGCAGCAGCCTCTGGCGGCTTACGGCTCGATGTTTGTGGAGTTGGCGAGGCAATGACTTAAGTTTAAGAAAATGAACGGTGTCTATTCGACCAGACAAGACTTGAGAGACAGGCTTAGGCTTGTCGTACTTGTCGCGTAAGGAATCGGAGTTGATGTTGGGCATACTCCCGAACTACTCAATCTGCCAGGTGAGTTGCAATTTAACCAAGCAATGCTTGCCCACGCTGCATACTTCGCCGTTTTTACATGTACAGATTGGCGAATTTGGACCGTATGGTCCGGGAAGAACTCACCCCCCGAAACGATGAACACGTTGTCCGTATTCTTCTCGTACAATAAATTAGCAGCGGCCTGCAAGACAAGGGCCACCGGTCAGAGGTGCTGACGTTCACTCAGCAGATGCTTGCCTTTGCTGACTCCTTCCGGAACCTTCCCTTATCTGACGTCTTGATGCTCCTAAGCGTGTGAGCAATCTAATCTACATCTACTCGTCAAGGACAGCAAATCATTGCAGACACTCGACAAGCGCCGTTTCGTTAGAATAGCTGCCCGGAATTTTTTCTTTGCCGCTGGCCGCAGCAAAAATTGATGCTGGTCCAAAGAACAGAATACGGTCCGAGGATTCAAAAATAAGGCAGTTTTCCAGCTTTGTCGTGGCTGTCATGACCTCGACGGACGGACGAAAAGGAGATGGAACACCGGAGCGCCCGCTTGCTGCTTAGCGCTATGGCATTAAAACAGACCTCATAATGCCCATCGTGTTATCCCGCCTTGTGTTTCTCCAAGGGGAAGCAAAGACGACACGGACGCCTTCCCTTCAGTACCGCTTAACATATGAACCATTCCATCCTAATTTAGACCCTAGATAAACAGATTTTTCGCCTCAAAGGCGCCCCTCGTGAAATTAAGCAGGTTGTTGCTGGAAACTTTACCGCAGCTATCCGCTCGTCTTCGTCATACAATACCACCGCCTTCCCCTCCTTGTTCATCTGGAGAGCAAGAAGGGACATCCGTGAGTAAGAGGGTGACTGCAGTTGGGACGGACATGTTAAGAGGGTCACAGAGAACTAGAGAATTCCTTGGATGGTACAGATCCTTGACGACCCGCCTCGAGACTCGATGAAAGAGTTGAGCCGAAGTAAGCCCGGGAAGAGATTTGTAAACTGCAACTTTAGCTGTCGACGACTCGGCAGATTCCGTGTAATTGAAGTGACGTGCGACTCTGTGATGGGCTAGGAGCACAACTACTGACCTTTAAGAATTATTTTCGACATAGGGCTGGCGAGGCTCTTTTAAAAAGAGACACCCGTCGCGCTCGTCCAAAGTGTCTTAATGTCAAACGGCATTTGAAATTAGGATTTGAGTGATTAAGATACGAGTGCTCACACATTCTCGAGATGTGTGAGCACTGTACGAGCGGAGTCAAAGCAAAGCTCCTGCTCAGATCTAAGCACCGCCTAAAAAGTGGTTTCTCACCGTCGAAGTTCTGCTGCTGGACCAGAAATAATAAGATAGACTGTGCCAAACGAAAGTGAATGCTCCTCTGCCGTCAAGACGGCCTTCAGGCGCACTAAGCACCATCCAGTCGCCAAGAATGAAGCGACATTCTTGACAAGAACTCGGAAGAACACTATCGTCTTCCCTTGGTATGGGAGGATCGAGATAGGCCCTTGGTCCTTATTAAGTTCGCTTTGATGGATTTTATCGATGTCCACTGCACTCGGTTTTATAAGGTCTGACGAGATCGCGCTTCGACCGTCGAACGTATGGAATAACGTGAAAAAAGTAACTCAAAATGATCACTCACATAAGCTAACAATTGCGACGAGAATGGGTTAACCGCCCTCGTAAATAGGGGCGACGGGTAGGAAATAGCTGCATGGAGAAGAGCATATGCGTCGATGTGGGTTTCGCAGAACAGAAAACTATGAGCTTGACAAAAACGGAGCGCTTTCTGCACATTACAGAGTTCGCCTTCGAAGTGAGAGTCGTTTTTTCTCGAGAAGGGAACCTGAGACAGAGCCGTGACAGATGGCGAGCTCAGATTCCTTCATTTTGGACGAGATCGAAACCCATTTTGGCATACAAAGCATCTGCAAACTACTCAAACGTTTCTCCATAGAAAAAAGGGCACCCTCCTATATACCCAGTAGAGTATGCTAGAGCTTGGAGCACCAGAAGCATTGAAACGTGTGTGAATGGATTCTTTGTAATCAACATCACCGAACATCACCCATTTTGCAGGTTGGCGCACTTTTCATGGTCCCGGTATAAGAGAGATCTGCCCAGCTCACGTGTTGCCGTTGCTTCCTGTGCTAGGAGGACAACCTCTGTGGTACTACCAGAAAACCAATTACCTTAATCAACAAGCTGAAAAGCTGGTTGGGGCGCTACAAAAGCACGGAGTAGAGAAGATAAACTCCACCAGGAGTCAAGAATCGGATGCAGCGTACCGTTTCTAATTCGTCCAATCTGGAAGGCCTCCTCTGGTCGGACGTCCAGCACGATTACGTCCAACTCTGGCCGTTCCTGGAAACCGGACAAGAAGGTTTAGAAGTGTCAACAGAGGTGGATTAGCAGGGGGCGAGGCTACTTAAGACGGTCGGCCGTATTTAAAAGACAAAGAAATGCTGCAGAGGGCGACAACTAGCATGGATTGCTACTGTACACAGATATCCGGTTATGCCAAAGCCGGCCTTGCTGCCGCAAGTGTTGACAAGTGAACGAAAAAGGTTGACCAGACTGAACGGCACTTTATCCTGCTCAAATCAACCACTATCCAAAATCACAGTATGGAGGGAGTATGCATGATCCTCCTTGTTACTCCCATCATATCTCCCTAGAAGCAGCTTCCAGGACCGGTTCACCTTGAGCTGAAGCGACCATCCTTATCTCAGTGCCCGACCTACCTGCGTCAAGAGCCGCGCCAGGGTTGCTGGCTTCATCCGCTTGAAGAATTCCTCCTTTTTGAAGAGGATGTCTGTTCAAGTGTCAAGGCTAGGTCAAGATCGAAGTGCGGTACGGCAGCGCAAATGCTTACTAAATGCTGTGCAAGCGCAGTGACTCATGTGGCATAGGGGGCCCAAAGCACAATTGATGGCTGGGAAGTTCCAAGACATCATTGGAAAGGAAATCTCAATCATCTGGTAGCTGGCATGCTTAAGATACTTATTTTTGTCTCGTTCAGTTGCTCCGCAGCCCCGAGCATGTTTGGCCCACTGTAGAAGCAGACAGAAAGTGTAGCAAATTCAGAAGAGGAAGTAAGAGATCTGGAGCTCAAAGAAATGTAGGCTCAATAATTCAAGCCCGTAGGCAATCTGCGATTCATTTGGTGTGAAAGGTTTCAAACATATGCAGGATTTTCGGGGCGAGGTTCTGAAGAATGTCTCATTGTGCAGCAAGCTACCATCAGGCTACAATGCGTGCAAAGTGTCGCCGCAGGTTCTCTACCAAAATGGTCACTGCACATCCAGCTGAAAACATTGTTTTGCAGTTTTTTTCTGGAAGCACGTGTCTGTAGACTGCTTTGCTGGCTCCATCAGTCTCGTATCTATTTAAGGAAAGAGCTCATCAAGCTGGGCCCTGCATGAGCTGCTTGCAATACCATTGATGAGTTCAAGGCCATCAGGACGACAGTAGCAGCACAACAAACCTGTCAACTGTTGCCTTGACATTCTCGTACTTGGGATTCTTAGGTATGCGCTTTGGTGGCACCTGCAAAACCACATGCTTCCGATGAGCTCAACTTCCAAAGAACGGGGCAAAAGTTAGTAGGTTGAGTAGAAAGTTCCAGCTCCGCCCTCTGCTCAATAAACCTTTGCTGAATGGATATTCAGCATGAGCAGACGGAATTTTAGCAACAGCTGGTTGCCCGAACACGGTTCATGGAGCTGGCTCCCAGATAAGCAGGGCTTCAAGAAGAACAAGTTCCGTATCGCAAGCAATCAAAATGTTTCAAACAAGCTGGTTGACTTGCACAATAGAGGGAAAGGGACCAGGACTTACATTGCCACCAATGGGCTTGAACATGGTGTGCCCCGCAGACGCACCCAGAAACAACTAAGTGAGCAATCCGGATGGATAAAACCTTGCCAAAAGGCGCGCTTCTCATCTCCTGGAGGATGCACCTTCTTTCATTTAGGGGTTTGAACAGAGGGTTCTTTACAGCAGCTTTCTATGAAGTAGAAACCTTGAAAGTTGAGCGCTGTTTGGAGCTTCTTTCAAAACACTGTTCGATTTTGATATTAGGTTTGATGCACCCCTAATTTCGTTTGCATGCAATATGTAACAGGCTAACGAACCCTAATAATCTCAAACCCTAACTCCCGATTTTGGCCTGCTCATGCCTGCTCAGGCCTGCTGAAAACCCTCGCGCGGTTTTCGATCTCGAACCTTCGATGCAATTTGCAATCTTGAGCTTTAAGTTTGGGAGGTGGGTAGGACTACATGCATAGGCGCTAGCAAGGCTTTGCAAGGTCATATAAAAATAGCTTCTCTTAGAGGTAATATCCTTGCCTTGACGCCAAAGGTTGCTGCTTGCTTTCTCCCTTCAACGTTGCCCCTCAAGGAAGCGGCGCGCGAAGTCTGTGCCAATAAGGAACGGAAGATGGAGAGCTTCACATCTTACTTTGAGGGCCGCAACGCCAACGTCAGCTTCGACGCCCTGAAGAACTTCAACGCGCTGTCGAGCGGGGTCCAGAAGCACCTGCAGCGGGTGTACATAACCCTAACTGCTGCAGTCCTGGTTGCGGCAGTTGGAGTCTATGCGCACACTCTCCTGAACCTGGGTGGCACCCTAACCCATCTGGGTTTCATTGGCCTGACCATATGGCTGACCATGACACCAGCAACCCCGGCTCAGGAAGGGAAGAGGATGAGCCTTTTGATGGGGGCAGCGTTTCTGCAGGGGTGTTCCTTGGGAACCCTGGTTCAAGTCATCCTAGCAATTGATCCTAGCATCGTACTCATGGCATTCCTGGGCACGACGGCCGTCTTTGCATGTTTCAGCGGAGCCGCGCTTCTGGCGCAGAGGAGGAGCTACCTGTATCTGGGAGGAGTCCTGTCTTCGGCGGTCAGTGTCATGATGATGCTGCACCTGGGGTCGTGGCTCTTTGGCAGGAGCGCTGCGATGTTCCAGGTAAGTTCGCACAAAAGACAGCGTTTTTACAGGTTGCCTGTCCTACTGTTTAACCCTCAATTTGATATCCATGCTGTTCGCGTTTTGATACATGTCAAGGAATCCCTGGACCTTCAGTGGGGTCTCTACTATGGAGGAGGGTTCTGTTACGGAGGGATCCCTTGAATCCAATTTTGTGGCTGTTGACTCTGGTCTCTCACGCTTCATTTGGCGCACTGACTTTGCTTTATTGTCTGCGTTTACTATGCTTTGTGAAGAATCTGGGATCATATCTCCTTGACTTGCAAAGCCTGCGCTTTTTAATCTCAAATGTTTGTGTGTCATACCGTGTTAGTCAAACTTCTCATCCACAACGTTTCTGGTCTGTGCTGAACTTCTGTCTATGCTTTATGTCACTTAGCTATTGTTTTCACCTAAAAGATCCCTGGGCTAGGTTGGGGACAGGTTCCTTGCGGGCCTGCTCACTAACTGCTTGCAGGTGTATCACAATGAGTTGCAAACAACAATCTGAGCAATCCAGGATACTTACAAAACTTGGAAAACTCACAAACCACAAAACATCAAGCCCTCCTTCCAGGTCGAGCTGTCAGCTTTTGCACAGGTGTGACCTAAGTTCGGCACAGGTTCCAATTCTAGGTTGGGGTCAGGTTCCTTGTGGGCCTGCACAGTACCTGATATTTCCTCTTCGCTCTGTTCAGCTCGAGCTGTACGCTGGCCTGCTCGTCTTCTGCGCGTACGTCATCTACGACACGCAGGTCATTGTGGAGCGTGCGGTGCGCGGGGAGAAGGATCACATCAAGCATGCGCTTGATCTGTTTGTCGACTTTGTGGCCATCTTCGTGCGGCTCATGGTCATCCTGGCGCAGAACGAGCAGAAGAAGGAGCGGCGCGAGCGCGAGAAGCGCAATAAGTCGAACACAGTCCGGAGGTAGACGTTTAGGAGGGCTGAGTGTCGTCACGATCTGCCATTTGGACACCTCTGAAAGGGGGGGCGAGGGAAGGTCGTGACCGTTTGTTGGCATAAGTCCGAGTGTTCCTTGTTCGTGAACTCTTGGTTTCATGGCCGTCTTCAAAGGGGAGAGTAGGAGTCCCGAGAGACTTATGCGTGTAGCTTGCTTTGGTGTCCTTTTCAGAGTAGTTGATTCGTCTGTACAAAGCTGTACCCGCTTTTTGGTGGAGAAGAACCTTGCGGTGACATGCCCAGCACGATACTGGCTGCTCACCTTGTTTGTACAACTCGAAATCTGGAAATCTGCATGACCTACATGAGTCGCAACTTCATCATAGCAGCTGGTCCTGCCAGTTGGAAATCGTGCTGGTTCTCGTGTTTGGCATGTGATTCCGATCCGGGATCGAGGCGCATGACGTCTTACTGCATGTGGCAAGATCGATAGCGGTGCTTACATTCTGGCAAGGCGGCATCGTGATAGATGCAGCGATAGCTAGCACCTTTACAATCTGATATTTTGATCCAGTTGAGTCGTGGGCAGACCATCAATTGCAATATATTTTGATTCGGGCATGCTCATGCCATGCACGCGCTAGTTCCGACGTATTTATATGGGCAGCCCCAGCAGGCCGAGTGTAGGCCGGCCCTTATCAGACGCATATGCGGCATGCACTGATGCATCATGCGCTATAGTATGTAGCCTATAAATTTGAATCGTGAATTTGGGAACATGATCTACAGTAGAATGATACGTTCTCTAGCTTGGGATGAGCCTGCTATTGCTAGCTCGAGGCTCATGATTGCATGGGCCACGTTCAACCTCATTAAATTGAGCTGTAGGATAGCTAGATGGCGGCCGGTAGTTCGCAGCCAGCATGTAATTTGGGAGCTGTGCACAGGCTTATAACATTCTATCGAATGTTCTCAAATCAACGGATATGCGAAGCAAGTTCCGGCTTATGGACATGCATCTTAAACTTCAAGTATGGTACGACGGTTGCACGAGGGGACCATCTAATCAATAAACATTTCCAACTCCGCGATCCAATCTTGAACTTGCAACGATCAGCGTATAAGATCGATGGTCCTAAAAGTAACATACTCGGTCCGCGTCCGGCAGCAGGTCAACATTGTGTCACAACACCACAATTGGCCTGCGGCTTGATCTCCACCAACTACGATTATCTAGAAGTTTGATTCAGAAGCAAGCGGCTTCGCCAATATGGACAGAATTCTAGAATAGATTGGTCCCTTCATAATCTGTCTCGAGTTGTATGCTTGAGGAAACCCAAGAAGATAAGGGCCGCCTGTCTCTACATAACTTGCCGAGCGTTTCCATTGCCATCAGCACTCTCGCTCTTCTTCAGTAACTCCATCAACGGTGCAAGATCCGTCACAAACACGTCGTTGTGGAACCCTGCCTTCCCACCCTCCCAGTCTGATGACCCACCGAAGATGACCATCTTTGGGCTGCTCTCAGGGGCTTCTTGGATCACGGTTGTGGAGCACGCGCCTCGGGGGGACGGCCACGTGCCTTCTAACGAGCCCACAGACGACCAGTCCATCGTCTCCGTATTGAGGACGTCAAGACCTGGACAAAGGGTAGCGGTACGGGGTCGGACAGGAGCGCCAGAAGAGAAAAAGAAAATGCCGAAGGCAGCTCCTGTCAACAGGGGAATATAGAAGCAGGACACTACTCTGCTTAAGCACAGAGGGGTCTCGATCGAAAAGCGCCCGCATGCAAAGCAATGTCTTGTCCGTTCCGAGAATGTTACAAGGAACTGACACAATGAAACGCTTGTCCAAAACACCTGGTTATGTATTTGATGTGGAAGGAAGATGTGCCCCTCGTGAAAGACTCTCCTAGCGAAACTATAGGCAGCCCTGTCCGACTCCGATTGTTCATCAGTGAACCGGCAGAACAAGCAGACCACCCAGCGGTCAAAGCATCGGTTGTGCTGTAACACGTACCTTGAAAGTTCTCGTTCTTCAGGCCGACGCCCCCGTAAAGCAACCCGAAAGCGGTTCCGGGTAGAAGTGCCATCGAGTGGAACGACCGTGCAGCGGGGGCGGCCGGGGCGTCGGGCGCAGGTCCGGCCGTGGCGGGATCCTCCGAGCCTTGGCTCTCGGCCACGGGAGCGGACGCCGGATTGCTCGGCCGTTCTTGCTTCCATACGAACGAACTCATGTCGAGACTGCAAAACGGGTCTGGGACTGTCGATTTAGGAAGTTAGGAAGTCTCGGATCTGGTAGTTTCAGGTTAAAAACCTTCCAGTCACAGGATAACGGAAGGATACGCTGCTGGAACAAGGAGTCATTCTCCATGGGCAGTGGTCATCAGAGGTGACTCCTCTCCTCAAAAAGTCACTCGTTTTCCATCGTAATCGCGGGAGGAAATCTGCTTCTTTTCGTATAGTTCTGAAATGGCCCCCTAGAATCTGGTCGAGGTTCGAGTGCGAATGAATTGCACCAGATGCAAAGCGTGCCAGGCGTCTGGCCCCAGGCTTTAGAAGACATCTTGAGCAATAGGTCTGGATCGGTCGTCCGAGCAGTCTTCGAACACAAGATTTCCTGCGAGCAACTTTTCAGAATGATCCTTGGAACTTTTGTCGTGTTTAAGCATCCATGGTAGATCATAGACGCTTTTAAAGTGCATCGAGATGCCATGCAGACAGAGGACGGAAGCCCCTCCTCAACGAGCTGAACTGACAAGATAGCTGATGTGAATGTAGAACGAGTGACCAGAGCAGGAAAACAAAGACGTGCAATCACGTCTTATCATTCGAATCGATTCTCAACGGTCAATAACAAGCCTTGCCAAAGCAGGGACTTCTGGTATAAAGCCAGCAAGCTCACAGCCCAAAGAAAGTGGAACGACTAGTAATGGAGCTACACCCACCTGTACAGATCATTCTGTCTGCCTGCCGAGTCCCTTCCACCAAACAGGATAAGACGTGTAGGTCCCGCACTCTGACCTGATTCTGAGGAAGGCACCAGGACTGCCGCCGCTGCTGCTCGAGGACTGCGTAAACAAGTGCCTGGATAATCTTTGGCTGTTAGCCACTTAAAATCAGCGCGAAAAATGTACAACCAATCCCTACCAAATGAGCTCTTTAGAAAAGCGGGTGAGCTTTCGCTCACGACTAATCTATTTCCTCACTTAGTTGAACGGTACATCACGCGGGCAGAATGCATAAGCTGCCCATCGGTTAAAGCTAGTCACACCGCTTCCACCTGATCCTTTCGGACCTTTCGAAACTGTGCCAAATTTGACAAACTACTCGTGTAGAAACAGAATACAGTACCCCCACGATGTTGCCAGATGTAGGACGCGTCATTTGTAGGATAAGTCAGAGACCGTGAAGACAGCTTCAAGAGGTGCAGCTTCTCTGCCTCTGTAGTTTTAAAAGGGCGTCCTCGCCAATTAACCGTATTCCAACAGGATCTTTTGGCAGCCTGTTGGCAAAAGGCTGAGACTCTTCACCTTGGCGTTTGTCCCGTTGTCTCCACTTCCCTCCACTCCCCGGTGCTCGCGTCAAACACGTGCAGGTCATTGAACCACGTGAAGTCCATCCCGCCAGGCCGTGCGCTCGGGCCTCCCTCGTCGTCTGTCTCCCATTCGTCCCCTTCTGAGCTTAGGTCATCTAGACCCTTGACTGGCTCCTCTGCTGCCTCTGGTGTTGTGCTTTCCGGCTCAGGGCCGAAGCCTCCGAAGATGTACACTTTGCTGCCAAGGCTGAATGAAGTGTGCTTGTCACGAGGAGTGGGAGGGGAGCCCGAGGTGGAGGGTTGGGTCCAAGTGAAGGTGCTCGTGTCGAGAGTGTGCGTGTCATTCAAGTACCTGCAGGTGCAACAAAGTGACAAGATTGGCGATAAGTGCTTTGAAGCTATAGAAGTCGCCTTCACAGATGGATACAGTGCTCAACCCAGGCCACGAGGAGACTCCCAGGGACGACTGTCAGCAGGGTTTGCAGTGTCTGTAATATCACAACTGGGTCCTCAGACTCATCGTCATCACGGCAAGTAAATCAGTCCTTGAAACCACAGCTGCTGGCACGACGTCTTTCCCTCCCTCTTTGATCTAACTGCAGCTCGATTCCACGAAGAGCTCGTCGTGCAACAACTCTAGCTGCAATCCTCATGACATATAAACAGTCATAGGCATGCTCTCTCTGTCCTGAGGAGAGGTGGTCAAAATTGGTCGATGAAGCTAGCAGATGTTCCACCCGCTGTCCTCGTAGCAACCTCCAACACTGAACCCCCCGGCCATGCAACATCTCCAGCTGCAATTTTCATAATGTAGCAACTCCGCCAGCAAAACTCCTCTAGGCCTGAAGAAAAGAGGTGGCCAATTTTGCCAATGGTGCTCACCCGCTGTCCATAGAGCAACCGCCAAACACAAACACCCGGCCATCAGGGAGAAGCGCTGCCGTTTGCCCCGTCCTTGGAGCTGGCGGTGTCCCTTTGGTCTTCACTTTTGTCCAGCTATGCTGTCCAATGTCTAGGATGTGCTGCACAAGGACGCTGAGGTGTAAACAGGCCCTGTCAAAGTACTTGAGATTGAGACATGTCAGATTTGATCACTGTCAGATTTGACCAATGGTACAGATTGCAGATCTTCCTAAAGCGATGACGCAACATGTATTAAGTTATTGCGCGGTTGAGTGCCTTGAAGGCACTACATGAGGAGGTAAGTCAGCTTTCGCCCCTACAATTGCTCATGTTTGAGCATATTCAGACCTGTGTAGTCTGTTTTGAAAGTCACCCTAAGACCTCATCAAGAGAAGGTCAACAGCAACTGACAGATTTGTCATTGACTGCGAAGGTGCATCCACTTTGCACTTACCACCAACCAAAGATCCTCAGAGTTGGCAGGACTATCTTGGAATAAAAGCGCTTTTTTATCAGGAGTCTGCAATCAGCAGCAGAGCCAGAATCAAATGACCGCTCACCACATCATTGTATTGCTCAGCCTCTTCGTCCACACTGCTGCCTCCCCCAAAGACAAGCAGCCTCCCATTCCCCAGGTCCACCGTACTGTGCGCTTCTCGTGGCAAGGGAGCATTTGGGATTGCCAGAAGCTCGCTGGTCAGTGCCACGGAGAGTTTGGCCATTCCAGCCCCCATTTTGGGTTGAGATGGATTCCAAATGTGAGGCCACAATAAATTGAGATTGAATGGAGCGACCACCACCCTCACAAACTTTCACTATATCAGAAGTCAGAGACGCAAGTGGTTGATGCTGCACCCCAGTATTTGCTCTCAAACGCTCAAGCACCCGATGCCAACATCCCCCGCTCTGCCCGCTTGCCCCGTTTTCAGTCTGAAGATATTCTGAGGTGCTGCTCCGAGCTTTTGCAGCCAACGTAGGTCGTGTGAAGGGCTTTTTGACAACCTACCAATTGATCGAGCTGCGCCACCTTGATGATCCTGGCAGCTTCTAACGTTGAACATTCATCCCAGAGGCTGAGCGCAGGCGTCCAAATGGCAAGAAAAACCACGTCTCGGTTTTCCCGTCCCCCCTTTTGCAGTCGTTCACAATTCATGCATAATAGTGCCATCAGTTGAAAGCTCCAGTTCAAAATTGAATGAGTTCTCGCGCCAAAAGAAGCGTAATCACGACAAGGTGACCTGATTGGCCGCAGCTGTTTGCCACGTGATCATCTGTGCCACGCGGCGTTCAACAATTCGGTCTTTGCTCCCTAGCTTCGAAATCCTCCTGACTCCTTCAAGTTAGGCTGTCGGAGGGCAGTGACACTTCAACAGTCAAGACTCCACTACTTTCGAGTTTTCAAACTTGATCCCAGCTTCAACGTCAGATGTCGACAAGGATTTGAATCAGCGCTCCAGTGCGAGACTTCGGGAGGTGTGAAGAGGGATGTGGGGGGAGCAGCACTATCCGTCTCAAGAGCGGCGGCAAAGTCCACATTGCAATGGGAAGAGTCACTAGTTTTGAATTCTGCGCCGCGGTCCTTATGAAAGAGATCAGCAGTGGCTGGGAATGAGCGCCCAACTGTGCCTGGGAGGACTGAGGGCACGCGCTGGGTACCATAAGTTCTGGCGCCACGCAGTGAAGCTGCAAGCTGCTCAATCGCTATCAGCATTTCCCAAATCAGGGTGTTGCAGAGCGCGCCATAGTCAAGCAGGAATGTATCAGTTGGGGAAGGGCGATCTGCCCCAGCTGCTGCAGAGCCTGAATGCGAAGCTGGGAGGCGACGTGTACCCTCCGTTTAATGTGCATGGATACCTCTTGGGGGAAGAAGTCATGCGGGAGGAGGGGCGCACGGCGGACAACTCGGACCGGCAGCATTGGTACGTTGACAGGTGAGGGGCACACGGCGGACAATTTGAGCCGGCAGCGTTGGCATGTGGACATGTGAGAGGGCTTCTGGGAAGTTTCCTAAGGTTCGGCAGTTATTTAGACTGGTGGTGGTGACATGGTGTGCTGCAATGTTGAAAAGGAGGGACAGGAGTCGGGGGCCCTCCAGTGGTTAGGATCAGCAGGCATGTCTAGATGACAAAGACCATGCGCCCATAGGCTGGAAAAACCCAAGCAGCGACAGAAGTTGCAAGTAGGATGCTATGTGGACTGCTTACGTGAAAAACACAGGTCACGACTCTAAGGGCTCCATTCAGTGCAGGGCAATGATGTTGATTTAAGTAATGCTGACAAAATCTACGCGTCTGTCAAGTGGGGCCCACTCTCAACCTGCTCTGGCAGCTCTGAAGGCTTGCTAAATTTATCACGCTCCTTTGCGCAGTGTTAGTATGGGTGGGTTAATGTCTCGTATCCCTGCTCTGATCATACTTTGTTCGGTCGCCTGGATGGTGGCAACGACCTCTCTCTTAGAAAAGCGCAAATCTTATCCACGATGTCCATCGTCCTGTCAAGATGTTTTGATTCCCTCTACACTTTCGGACTGGCTGGGCTGAGCTATTTCCATGAGGTTTGCTTAACAAATTCCAAGTAAACCACACTTATCATGATATCTTACCTTGAGCGAGAGTCATCTAGAGCCTCGGGGCATCTTGACCTTAACGAAACCCTCGTGATTTGGCATACGAACCATCGGCACCATTTCCTGATTTGTGGAAGGAATGAATGGGCGTCACTGTCTAGCTATGTAAGAAAGGCAAAATCTAAGCTGACTCAGTGATCTTGATTGCTCAAACAAGCTGACTATCAGCTAGTTGGAGGTTGATCGTTTTACAGTCAGTACCGCCTACGCAAGCTTCCTTTTGATGATACCTTCAAGAAGCACGCAAATCATTTCAATTCATTTGATGACCTGGTTCTATGCCTGGGGCCAGGACCAAGGAGGATTTGCTGGCCGCATATGGCCTTCTCTTTGTCACCCTCTTTTCTTTAGCAAGACAAACGCGACTTTCATTTCTGGCAGCCCATTTTCCCAGGACCAATTGGCCCCCAGGTAAAGCCGATCGCTTTACACAGTCCTAGGCCTGGTGACTAGGTACGAACAACTTCAGAAAGACCACTGCGATTCTGACAAAGACAAGTTCTACCAGTGCAGGTGGCCAAATTTCCGCGTGGTTATGCTTCAGGAAGGGCTCCCGTCCGACTCCCGGTGCCCCATGCGTGCCGTCTGGGCGGAGGATGCCGAAGCTGGAGCAGCTTTCTTAGCACACCCAGCCTTTCGAATTTCGGAGTTCTGGCTTGGAGGTAAGGGTGGAGACTTGGAAAAAGTTCAGGTAGAATGTCAGATTGGTCTGTGTCTGAGAACTGTGCGATTGGCATGGCGCTTTGTGGCTTCACATGCCCGTTTTGTGTCATTGAGAAACGTGCAGCTTTCTTCGCACACCCAGCGTTTCGGATCTCGGAGTTCTGGCTGGGAGCTAAGAAGTGGACCCGGAAAGGGGTGCATGAGAACTGCCTGGATTGGTTTTGAAAGTGTCTAAATGTGATAGCGCTTTGTTGCCGGTTTGTGGCAGGGAAAGATGTGGTAAGAAGAAGAAAAGTTGGGAAGGTACAGTGCGCTTGTCCTTCTTAAAGGTGGCTCTTGGACGGTGACTAGATAAACCATGGTCGCTTTTGTAAGTGACAGTGTCCTTATAACGAGAAGTTTCTGAGCCCTGAAGGGCCGGGGAGTTCATGTTCGTTTAGAACTGTCTTTGAAAGATGTGCTCAACTGCTGACAGACACCTTTCTGGGCGACTATTCTGGGCTTCTCTGACTATCCTCTTGCGGTGATGATTCATATGATCCCGTTGTCCGTTGGTGTTGGATTTGCCTCTCAGTACCGTTTGTGCGTCTGAGAGTAACTATCATTTTCACCAGGCAGCGTGATCCGACCCCATATGCTGGCAGCGTGCAGCAGGCGTGCATGAAACAATTTTGAACGGGTCATGTACCACAGGACCCTCCTGGCAATGTCCTGATTCCAACTGAAGAAGGATATCGACTTTTGCATGTGATATTTAGAAAGACGGTGTTCATGAAACGTTTGACATTGCGTGAGCTTTTCAACTTGGCAGTCCGGCCCGTGAGTGACCATGCATGAGCCTCGCTACGAGGAGGCCGGGTTTACCTGGTTATCCGGCGGTACGTTCCGTCCATTCCTACGTACGTCCGTGGAATAGCGCCGCCGTACTTGCTTTTACGCCTCGTTCTCTTACACCGCTTCGCCTCTTTTTCTTTAGGCGCAACATGCTCTAAGTCCTGCAACTTTTCGTCGATGCGTTTGTGAAAATTGCTCCATGGTGTCCAGCGCTATCGGAAGCCCCGACGCCCCTGATCACAAGCCTCCGATTCCGGATCGTCATCTGGGACCCTAAGTAAAGGTGTTGTTCACCGTCCGCCAGCGTGTGTCATCTGACCGTCCGTTGCTGTGTGCGAACGCCCTTTTGACCAGCGTCCGCAAGCCTTTGCGGACTGGACTTTCTTTTGAAACTTTGCGCCGGCGACTTGGGATACTTCCAGTCCGACGCC